GACTTGTACTGGCTGGATGGTCACTTAAACAGGACTAGGATAAATATCTTTGCAGGGAGATTTGCTAATGTTGTTGGGGAGGCTTTATAATACCTAGATTGGCAGAGGAATGGGAACCTGAGGGTAAGCTCAGAGCAGGGAACATGAAGGAGAAACTTAGTGAGTGGTTCTGAATGACAGAAGAAGCAAGGGTTACAAAACATACATCACAAAAATTGGCAATATTAAAACACGCACTGAGTATTTATAAACTGAAGGAGTATAGTGAATAAAGTCGATGAGCTGAGGACACCAAAAAAACAGATGCGACTGCTAGATAGTGTTTGCCTCACTGGGGCCAGGGTTGGGATATCATTGAATGGCTGTAGGGCAGCCTGAAAGGAGAGGGTAATAGGTCAGAGGCTGTGGTATACATTGGTACCAACGACATAGGAAGAATGACGGATGAGGCTCCGCATCAAGAATTCAGGGAGCTAGGCAGTCAATTTAAAAAACTGGACCTCAAAGCTTGTAATCTCTAAATTACTCCCAGTGACTGCAGAAATAGGAAAGTATGACAGATGAATGCATGGCTCAAGAGTTGGTGTAGCAGGGAGGGTTTTAGATTCCTGGATCACTGGAATCTTCGCAGGGCGGTCTGCATCTGAACCAGAATGACACCAACATCTTTGTTGGTGGATTTGCTTGTGTTATGGGGGGTGTTCAAGTTCGGCAGTAGGAGGGGACACAGAGCATTAGTACAGTAGGGACATAGCATACTAGAGTAAAGGAACTAAGACAGAGAGAGTTCAGCCATGCTGAGTTTCAAGAGAGTAAGGCAAGGCTTGATGGCCATTACCTTAATGCTAGGAGTGTTATAGATAAGATAGATAAGTTAAGGACATGGATTGACATCTGGAAGTGTGATATTGTTGCCATCACTGATGTAGTAGAGGGAGGGGCAGGACAGACAACATTCCAGAGTATAGGATGTAATAGAGAAGGTACTGCAACATTATTAAGGAGTCAGTTACTGCAGTAATGAGAGTCAATATTTTGAAGTCTTCAAATGAGGCCTTGTGAGAACAGCTTAGGAATAAAAAGGGGGCAGTCAAATTGTTGAGGGTGTATTATAGGCCCCCAGTCAACAGGCAATAAAGGAATAGAAATGTAGACAATTCACTAAGTAATGTAAAAATAATTAATATTACAGTACTTTATATTAGGGGATTTCAACTTCCCCATATGAATTAGAATAGTCATAGTGTAAAGTGTTTGAAAGAGACAGATTTCTTGAAATGTAAACTTTGAGAACTTTTTATGTTAACACATAGGAGATCACATAGGAACACATAGGAACAGAGCAGTGCAGGACCTAATTCTGGGGAACAAAGCCAGGCTGATGTTAAAGGTAGCAGTGGGGAAACATTTTAGTGATATATCCACAACACAATATGATTTAAGTTTGTTATGGAAAAGGGAAACAATGGTCTGCAAAAATGGTTTTGGACTGGGGAAGGCAGATTTTATTAAAATAAGGCAGAATCTGGCTAAATTTAACTTGGAACAGCTACCTGTGGGATAATCTATAGCAAAACAATGGAGGGGCGTTCAAAAGGAAATGGGGAGAGTATAGGCCCAACATGTTTCCTTCAGGGTGAAATGTAATCGCAGTATGTTACCTTTACAGTGAAATGTAGTCATGATAAGCCCAGAGAACTCTAGATGTCTAGGAATATAATTGGATACAAAAGAAAAGAGATGCTTGTATAGGTACAAAGAGAGCAAATCAACTGAGGCCCTAGTGGAGTCTAGAAAGTGCAAGGAGATCTCTTCATTTCCTGAAAGAGTGCTACAATCTGAGAGCATTCAAAAGGCTGTTAAGAAGAAGTGGTGCCTCTCATTGAGCACCCGCCGTACTGCTGCAGCTGTCCAAGCAACCAGTCCTTTCCAAACCATAAGGCCTGGAATGATGCCACTACTCTTAATCTTTTCATTTTAACTCCTGAAAACATCATTCAAAATCATACTTCAGACCATCGCCTTTCTATACCATTTTGAGTGACAAGATCAGTGCAAATTGATGGAATGCACTGCCTGGAAATGGCAGACAGGTTCAATTGAAGTGTTCAAAAGAACAATGGATGATTATCTGTAAAGAAATAGTGGTAGAAAATTGGCACTGGATAATGATGCTCATTTGAAGGGCCAGTGCAGACACAGTGGGCCAAATGGCCACCTTTTGCACCGTAACAATTCTGTAAGAACTGGGGACGCTTCATTGTTAGTATCTGTGAACAAACTGAGGACAATTTGGAGGAAGGTGGTGGCATTGAAAATGCTGCCAGTGAAATGGAAGTATTTTGTTTTAGTGTCTTCAGTCATTAATGAAAAACAATTTCAGTAAACAGTGTTGGAAACTGAGGATGCCTTGGGGTGACATGTAGCTATAGGGCTTAATGAGTATGCAGTTGGACCTCTGAAATATGCTGTCATTGCCACTGTGACCTCAGTGGTCAAGATGTTGTTCATGATGCTGCTTATGGGTTAGAACCAGAGCAGCTCTAGGCCAAGATGCCTGCTGCAGTATCATTACGTGCTTATATTGCTAATAAATACTGTTTTAAGAAATACTTTGAGGTCTGGCCCCAGTTTATCTGAAGAACAGATGTACTGTTTAGCATTGTTGATAGCAGACATGCTATCATCAAGCCCCTGAATAACAGTATCCAAGGCTGTTAAGAGGAAGTGAGAGTAGAAACTGTAGGGGCACTGGCCACAAGCTTTCAGTCTTCTCCAGACTCAGCGGAGGTGCCAGAAGACTGGAGGATTGCAACACTATTGCCTTTTTCAAAAAAGGTTCTAAGGAACAACCCAGCAATTACAAACCAGTCAGTTTAACTTCAGTGACAACAAGGTGCAGGGCTGGATGAACACAGCAGGCCAAGCAGCATCATTGGAGCAGAGAGGCTGAAGTTTCGGGCCTAGACCCTTCATCAGAAAAGGGGGAGGGGAAGGGGGTTCTGAAATAAATAGGGAGAGAGTGGGAGGCGGATAGAAGAGGGATAGAGGAGAGGATAGGTGGAGAGGAAACAAACAGGTCAAAGAGGCGGGGATGGAGCCAGTAAAGGTGACTGTAGGTAGGGATTTAGGAAGGGGATAGGTCAGTCCAGGGAGGACGGACAGGTCAAGGGGGCGGGATGAGGTTGGTCGGTAGGAGATGGAGGTGCGGCTTGAGGTGGGAGGAGGAGATAGGTGAGTGGAAGAACAGGTTAGGGAGGCAGGGACGAGCTGGACTGGTTTTGGGATACGGTAGGGGGAGGGGAGATTTTGAAACTTGTGAAATCCACATTGATACTATTGGGCTGCAGGGTTCCCAAGCGGAATATGAATTGCTGTTCCTGCAACCTTCGGGTGGCATCGTTGTGGCACTGCAGGAGGTCCAGGATGGACATGTCGTCTGAGGAATGGGAGGGGGAGTTGAAATGGTTCGCGACTGGGAGGTGCAGTTGTAAACCCTGCAGCCCAATGGTATCAATGTGGATTTCACAAGTTTCAAAATCTCCCCTCCCCCTACCGCATCCCAAAACCAGTCCAGCTCATCCCTGCCTCCTAACCTGTTCTTCCTCCCACCTATCCCCTCCTCCCACCTCAAGCCGCACCTCCATCTCCTACCGACCAACCTCATCCCGCTCCCTTGACCTGTCTGTCCTCCCTGGACTGACCTATCCCCTTCCTGACTCCCTACCTACACTCACCTTTACTGGCTCCATCCCCGCCTCTTTGACCTGTTTGTTTCCTCTCCACCTATCCTCTCCACTATCCCTCTTCTATCCGCCTCCCACTTTCTCCCTATTTATTTCAGAACCCCCTTCCCCTCCCCCTTTTCTGATGAAGGGTCTAGGCCTGAAACGTCAGCCTCTCTGCTCCTATGATGCTGCTTGGCCTGCTGTGTTCATCCAGCCCTGCACCTTGTTGTCTCGGATTCTGCAGCATCTGCAGTTCCTACTATCTCCAGTTTAACTTCAGTGGTGGGGAATCTTCTCCAGACAAATTATTCAGGATAGAATTAGTAGTTTCATGGAAAAAGGTGGGTTGATTTGGAAGAGGCATCCTGAATTTTTAAAGAGAAAATCATGTTTAACAAATTTTCCAACATTTACTGAAGCAGTAATGGCTTCAGTATTGGCATCGCTGTTGATGTGGTATATAGAGTTTTCAGAAGGTATTTGATACAGTGTCACACAATAGACTTGAGGAACATTTTAGGTCATGGAATCAAAGGGTCAATAGCAACATGGATACAAAGATAGAAAGAAATCCAAGTGTGTTGGCCAATGGATATTTTGATCTGGAGGGAGGGTTTGTAGCAGAATTCCACAGGGGTTTGTATTGGGACCCTTGCTTTCCTTGATGTACAATAATGATAAAGGTCTTAGTGTGCTGGGGCAATTTTAAAGTTTGCAGATCACACAAAACTTGGAAGAATTGTAAACTGAGAGAAGGACAGTGTAGAATTCCAGAAGGGTATTGACAAGTTGGTGGAATAGGTAGGTAGGTGACAGATGAGCTTCAATCCAAAAGAAGTGTGAAGTGATGCATTTTGGCAGGAAGAACATTGAAAGACAATGTGAAATAGGGGACACAATTCTAAAGGGATTGCAGGAGCAAAGGAAACTGGGTATATGTGTGGTGTCACAAGACAGAAACAGACAGATGAACCAATGGTTTCTAACCAGGCTTTGGATAACCAATCCCAGCCTTTGAGAATAATTCCTTCCAGGTACCAGTTTTGTGTCTCAAACAAAGGACTTAACCATTTATTGAATATGCAATAACTTTAGCAGATAAAATATAAACAAGGTAACCTGATTAATGTCTGTGCTTTAAATCAAAAACATTTGTTTTCAGGCCCCATTTACACAAAAGATATATAGACAAACACTGTTAAGGATAAATAAGAGAAAGTAACAAGTCTGGTCAGATTACTTAAATGTCTTTCGTAATATGTTGTTGCACAGGCATAGATGTGGACTCTTTGGTTGCTTTTCAGGAACCACCGATCAGGATCACCTCAGTTTACTCAGGTAAAGGTGGCAATATTTGCAACTTAGCTTTCTACTCTCTGGGCTTCTAAAAGCCAGTGTGGGAGATTAGGCAGGGAGCTTTCAAATCTTCATGTTGTGATGTCAGCAGCCACACTTATCTCCTCCAGGAAACAGTTCAACCACATCTCTGACTCTTGTTCCACCATGATAGACTGGAATGTCTTTTCCCGAGGCTGCAATTACCATTCAACATCTTCCATCTGCTTGAACATAGGTCTCTTCCAGACTCGCTGAACCAGTTCCCAAATACTGACCCCATTATTAATAGCCAACTTCTGTTTAGACAGGATGCTATTCCCAAATTCATTATGTCTGTTGGAACCCTTTTTAATCAAGTATCAGCCTGCAATTAACTTCCAGGCCTGGCCTCACAAACAAACAAAAGCTTGTTTGAGATAGTAGGAACTGCAGATGCTGGAGAATCCGAGACAACAAGGTGCGGAGCTGGATGAACACAGCAGGCCAAGCAGTGTCATAGGAGCAGAAAGGCTGGTCTGTCCTTTTCCTTTTACCACAAGCTGTTCCAAAAGATTCCACAGGTGATCCTCAGCTCACAATTCCCAGTTCACAGCTCCAAACCAAGATTGATAAAATGAATGAAAACAAAATGATGAAAAATCAGTAAGAGTTCTAACATGCCTCCACCCTCAAAACATGCAGCATCATTTTTAGAAAGACGCATTTAATGACAAGGTTAGTAACGCTTAATTGACAAGCAAAACACAAAACTCACACCCATTCATTCTTCCTTACGCCAGATTCGTAGTCATTATTTAACATTCTTGGTCATGTTTTTAAATTTACAACAATTTATATTCAGGATAAGGCATCAGCAGTTACATTTTCTTTCCTGGAAATATGTGCAGCTTTATGTTAAGTGGCTGCAGATCTGAGCTCCATCTGTACAATGTTGAAATCTTATCTCTAAAACCATTCACAAATCTCCATGGATTATGGTCACAAAAATTACAGTTCAGGAATTTCTATTTTGAAAATAAACTTTGATTTGTTGAACAGCTGTTAACATTGCTAATGCTTCCTTTTCCATCATTGAAATGTGGTTTAGTTTTCTTAAATCCAAATAGCATGACTCCAAATTAGTACAATCCATTAGAATAGAATCCCTACAGTGTGGAAACAGGCCCTTCAGCCCAATAAGTCCACACCAATCCACAGAGCATCCCACCCAGACACACCCCTGAACGGGCAATTTAGCCTAGCCTAGCCAATCCACCTAACCTGCACATCTTTGGACTATAGGAGGAAACCGGACCACCCGGAGAAAACCTACGCAGACATGGGGAGAATGTGCAAACTCCACACAGATTCCACCGAGTGCCTCACAGTGTCAGGGACCCAACTTCAATTCCAACCTTGGATAACTGTGTTTGGAGTTTGCACCTTTTCCCAGTGTGTGTATGGGTTTCTATCAGGTGTTCTGGGTTTCTCCCGCCATCCGAAGAAGTGCTGGTTAGGTTGACTGGCCATGCTAAATTGCTCCACAGTGTCCAGCAATGTGCAGGTTAGGTGGATTAGGCATGCTTACTGCTGGGTATCAGGGTTGGGATAGGTTTTGAAGGATGGTCTTCGGAGGATCAGTGCAGACTCAATGAGCCAAATGGCCTCTTTCTGCACTGTGGAGATTCTATGTTGGTTAATGTGCTACATCCAAGTGTATCTTTGCAAACTTCATTGTATTTTCTAAACAATCCCACTGTATATCTCTCCAGATATGAAAATATAGTGTCTAAATTCTCTAATCTCTCTGAATTTGTTAATTTAATAGCGGGAAATTCACTTTGAGAATTGTCCAATTCTCTTTGCCTTTCATCTTTCTTTCTTATATTCTTTTTTACTACACTTACTACGTGATGCAACTGTACATTCTCATTGTCTTCTCTATAATAGTACTGCTTTAAGATATTCACGTGACATAGTCGATTCTTTTTCCTATAATCACAAATATCAATTAAATATGTGATCTGACTGACCCTTTCAATTACTTTATAGGGACCACTGAGTTTTGCTTTTTAATGGATCACCTTGTAAAGGCAACAGTACCAAAACTTCATCTCCTGCTTTAAAAATTCTGATTGTCACATGTTTCTGTCCACTTTTTCATCTTGTTTAGGGGAGTTATATTCATGGTCCTATGCAACTCAATATGGTCCAGTTAAACTTTTGAGAAATGTAGATACAGCCTCTAAAATTAATAATTTATTTTCCTGGCTTAGCAGTTTATCTCTAATCAGTTTTAATCATCTTCTTATTGATGGCCTAACTAATTTGAATAGGCTGTTTCACCTAGAGAATCTCTCATTGCAAAAAAAATCTAATCCTTTCCCCCAATCCTTTGGATACTCTTAACAATGGGATTTGATTATGCTTTTGAGGGTTTAGCAATACGTCTCCAAAGCATTTGCGGATGGTAGTCAGTCATTTTCAATTATTTAATCCCCAAACTATGATGATATCTAGAAAATGTTTTGACAAAGTTTGATGCATGATTAGACTTTACTACCATTGATAGACCATGAGGAGTGAAAAACTGAATTCTTCAGCTACCACAATCGGTTTGATTGTTCTTAAGGGAAAAGCCTCTGAAAAGTGAGTCATCAATCCATAATGGTAAGGATATATTTATTTCTGGCTTTCATTACAGGGCCATTGGCCTGGTTCCATGATTCTATGATTCTATGACTTTAGGTAATGATCCTACAAAATTCACAAATACACTACTGAATGGTTCTTCGAGAACTGGTGTAGGAATTAAGGCTGCTGGACTAGATCACATGTCGAGGTTCATCTACAACATAGAAACATAGAAAATAGTGCAGGAGTAGGCCAATCAGCCCTTCAAGCCTACACCACCATTTAGTATGATCATTGCTGATCACCCAATTTCAGTATCCCACTCCTGCTTTCTCTCCATACTTCCTGATCCCTTTAGCTGCAAGGACCACATCCAGCTCCCTTGTGAATGTATCTAATGAACTGGTCCGAAAAGCTTTCTGTGGTAGAAAATTCCACAGGTTCACATCTCTCTGATTGAAGAAATTCTTTCTCATCTCAGTCCTGAATGGCTTACCGCTTATTCTTAAACTGTGACCCCCCTAGTTCTGGACTTCCCCAACATTGGGAACATCCTTCCCACATCTAGCCTGTCCAGTCCATCAGGATTTTATATGCTTCTATGAGATCCCCCCTCATTTTTCTATATTCCAAAAAATACAAGCCCATTCGATCCACTGTGTCTTCATATGTCAGTTCTGCCATCCCGGGAATCAGTCTGATGAACCTTCGCTGGACCCCCTCAGTAACAAGAATGTCCTTCCTCAGACTAGGAGACTAAAGCTGCACACAATACTCAAGATGTGGCCTCACCAAAGCCTTGTACATCTGCAGCAAAACATCCCTACTCCTATACTCAAATCGAAGGGTGGCATGCCATTAGGTTTCCTCACCGCTTGCTGCACCCGTATGCCAAACTTCAGCGATTGTTCCACCTATGTTTTGTTGCACCTCACCTTTTTCTAAACTGGCACCATTCAGATAATAATCTGCCTTCCTGTTTTTGCCACCAAAGAGAACTTCACATCTATCCACATTATATTGCAATTGTCAAATATTTGCCCAATCAACCGAGTCACCTTGCAACCTCTTAGCATCCTCTTCACAGTGCACACTGCCAGTCAGCTTAGTGTCTCTGCACATTTGGAGATATTACATTGAATTCCTTTGTCCAAATTGTTAATGTATATTGTGAACAGTTGGGGTTCCAGCACTGAACCCTGCTGTACCCCATTCATCAATGCCACTCTGAAAAAGACCCATTTATTCATCACTCTGCTTCCTGTCTGCCAGCCAGTTCTCTATCTATGTCAATACATTACCTCTGATACCATGAGCTTTAATTTTACTTACTAATCTCTTGTGTGGGACCTTGTCAAAATCTTTTTGAAAGCCCAGGTACACAACATCCACTGATTCACCTTGCCCACTCTACTGGTCACATCCTCAAAAAATCACAAAAAATTTGTCAAGCACAATTTGTTTTTAGTCAATCCATGCTGACTAGAACCGATCCTGTCACCACTTTCTAAATAAAGTGTAGAGCTGGATGAACACAGCAGGCCAAGCAGCATCAGAGGAGCAGGAAGGCTGACGTTTCGGGCCTAGACCCTTCTTCAGAAAAAGTTTTCTGAAGAAGGG